TTTTTTTTTTTTAAATTTCATTTAATTAATGCAAATAATTTCTAGTGAATTTATTTATTCATTGAATATATTTTCTTTTTTTTTTTTTATTAACTTGGTAAAAACCACTAATTTTACGCCTGACAAAATTCGACTAATTCAAATCCCATTTAGTTTTATATGAAAACTTTTCTTGGAATCATTTTCTGGAATTGCTGGAATTGCTAATAAAAATTTCAAAAAAAAAAATGGTTCCATCATTTTTTCTTTCGTTCACGACAAATATAAAAGAAATAAAAAAAGTTTCTTTTTTTTCCTCGTGTATTTATATCGTCGTGTAAATATTTTTTTTACAATTGATTTTATTCGAAAATGTTTTTTTTTACGCTATAAAACGCCTCGCGACTTTTCTTTTTTTCTTACCCTTCCCCTTCCTCTCCTCCTCCTCTCCTATCCCTTTACAATCGTTTTTTAAACGTGAGTCGTAAATTAATTTAATTTTAAAAAAAATCTATATTTTACAACTCGCTATAAAATATTAAATTTGCTACTATTCAAACGGAATATTAATAATTTGCTATAATAATGATAATGATAATAATAATAATAATTCATTAGTGATAAATAAATTTTTGGCTCGATTTACACACGCACACTCTCTCTCTATAATTTTTCAATAAAAAAAATAATAATAATAATTTTTTAATATTAAAAGATAAGAAGAGTGAAATTATATATTAATGACGTCATTTTATAGTCTTATCATTATCATTATTATTATTATTATTATTTATTCTGAAGTAAACAAAGTAAGAAAGGAAACAAACAAGCTTGGAATTCGATCGACTCGTCCTTTTTTTTTTTTTTTAATTAAAAAAAAATAAATAAAAAGCAATGACTGATTGATTGATTGATTGATTGACTATTACGTGTACAAGAGTGATATTATAAAAACGAATCGATTTAAAATTTTAACAAAAAAAAAGAAAGAAAGAGAAAAAAAAGCCATTTTTGAATTGAAAAAAAAAAAAAAATTTTTTTCTCCACGACATTTTTATATTCAAATCATTTTTTCTCATACATATTTTTTTTTCTCCAGTTTTTTTTTGTTATATTATAAATATAAACTTTATCTTAGAACAACAGTTTTTTTTTGCTCTTTTTTTTTTTTTTTTATAAAAAAAAAGGAAAAAGAAGGAAAAGCTGAGTTTACGTAACAAAAAAAAAGTCATTTATAATTTTTTTTTTTTCATTTTTTTCTCTTCGTTTAAAAAAAAAATTTTATTTTAATTAATTATTATTATTATTATTATTATTACGTTTGTTTGTTTGTTTGTCTGTGTCGTAATCTAATTTTTTTTAATAAACATCATTTTACCTCACTCTTTTTAAAAAAAAAACATCTTTTATTTTTCTCCAGGTTAAAATATTATTTAAAAAAAAAAAAATTTTTTTTTCTTTTTCAACTTCACCCCCTCCCCCTCAATTCTATACCCCACGCAGTTTTTTTTTTATTCCTATCTTTCTTTTACTCTTCCTCTTCAGCAAAATTTTCTTTAAGAAAATTGTTTTTTCTTTTTTTCTTTACCTTTTCCCAACGTCATGAAAACAAAAAAAATAAAATTTGAATTTTAGCAAAAAAAAAAAGAAAAAAGAAAATTCATTTTATTTTTCCAGTTATTACATTTAAATTTTCTCTTAAATATTAAATTTTCTTTTTTTTTTTTTTTTGGCAATTTCGCATCTTGGCCCCCCTTCCCCTTTTCAGGTAAATATATTTTTAAAAAAATTTATCATCATCGTTTTCTTCGTCGTCGACGACGTAATCATCGTTGCTACAACTACTTAATAAATGTTTGCTATAATTAAGAGAAACGAGAGAAGAAGAAAAACAAAAAAAAAAATTTAATTAACGATTTTATTTTATTTTATTTTTAAGTAAAATTATTACCTTCGATGTTTTTTTTTTTTTTTTTTTTGGAAACTCCAGCACATTTTTTTTTTTTTTAAATAAAATTTCTATATTTTAACGATCTCTCCTCCTCCTTCCCCCCCCAAAAAAAAAAATACACGCCAATAAAAATATAGAAAAAAAAATAAAAAAATATTCAAAATTATTAATAATAAAAATCGTTTTGTTTTTTTTTTGCTAATAGATTTCCCACGATAGGCTGTATGAGTGCGTGTTTATAAACATAAACAAATATTTGAAGGGGAATAAAAATAAATAAAGTAATTTAACAGCCGCAAAAAACTATTTAATAAAATAATATTTATTTTAATGCCACGACATTTTTAGCCTTTTCCGAGCGGAACGAAAAAAAAAAACTGGTTACACATTGCATATTTATATTGTTATTAAGTCCGAAAAAAAAAATTCCCCCCTCCTCACACCCACAACAATAACGGCAACAAAAAAAAAAAGTTTCGT